ACCGTGACCTATCACCCAAGAGAGAGGAAAGTCCGGGGGGAGGGAGGGCGGGGAGGAAGGCGTAAACAAAGGCGGCCGGCAAACAATGCCGGCTACAAGAGCAAACACGATATCCGCCCTTCACAGAGCGCCGCGCATAAAACTGAAGTGCAAGGTACAAGTTCACCGGTAGAAGAGCTCCCCCTGTCCCCCTCCCCTCCCCGCCCTCCTCCACCCTTTCTCTCACGACTCCGCAAAACTTAAGCCGCCAGTGGGAGGGGGGGGGATGTGTATCTGTGGGAAGTAACGGTGCGAGACACCCCTGCGGGCGTTTAACGTATGTGTACGTTTTATACGGCAAGTTTCGCTATAAATCACCTCGTTTCACCGGGGCTAAGTGTGCGCGGGTCGTCCGCGAGCGCGAGCGAACTACTTCGTAACCTGCAGAGATAAGTGGTTACCGGGAAATCTGTCATACTCCGTAAGTGGCGCGTGTCACGTCGATCTCACGGTAACAATATGACATTGATAATTCAGCGAGCTGTGACGAATGATCGATTTTTTTCTTTTCTTTTTGATTCCGCGCTAATAATAAAAGAAACGGAAACGCCGAAGGTACTGGAATCCCCAAGAATCGAAGATCCTGTTGAATCTAATTTCCGTCTCAGCCCTAGAAACTACTACCATTATTACGATTCGCTATATCTCTGACACTCCACAGGGGAGAGACTCCAAAACGCTCTTTGTGTGACGTCTAAGTGACGCTGTCCTTTGTGCCCGCGCCCGGCTAAATGAGTTAGTCCACCCAGAGGACACCCTTAATCTTCATCTCAAATCTCATCCTCTATCGTCACTGGAATAATAATTATCCTCGACAAGAATTGGCAGCGCGGAACATGCGCGCGTATAAGCCCCCGGCTGCAATGCGTTGTAAATTATACACTTGACAAATAAATGTTGTCTCGTGCCGATTCCGATCTCGACTGGCTTATTTTAGCTTAGGTGGCGCTATGCAAAATTCACTTCTCTCGTCGCATACATTGCACATTGGGTGTAAACGACATTCGCGAAAGTTCGGTGCCCCCGTGGTATATATTTCCTCATCGAGCGGCGCGTTAAAATATCGCTTTCCCGGGCGCGCGGAGAGGCAGGGGGAAGGAGACTCTATCGAAACACTTCTCCGCGTGCGAGTGGCGTGCATGAGAAGTAATACAGATTCGATAAGTCGCCGCAGACGTTTTACGGGGGCGGGGTGAGGGAGGAGGGGGGCAGGGGACGAAATGGAAAGCGCGCTCCCCGGCATCGAGCGATCTATACCTACCCTTCGCGCGATTCTCGACGGTGCCGGGGAATGGAGGCGCTTTGCATTTCCGATGTTTTTTTCAATAGAGAGAATCGACGCGACGCCGCCGAGGGAAAGGATGGACTTTAAAGAGGCGACGAAACAGCTGCGAGCCCAACCTCGAAGGAACGATTCGACGTTTGGGATAAAGCGGTTAGCCGGCTACCGCCGCGCCGCGTCCCTTCCTTCCCGCGCGCTGAAAACCGTGGGAGATGGGTATCTCTGAAAATAGGATTGGTGCGGCACGCATTGTGCCGAGCGAGGACAGTGTCTCTCTTTCTCTCTCTCTCTTTTTCTCCGTCTCCGTGTCTTTCGCTCGCCCTAGCTCTTCTGGCCTCTCCTCGTATTTATAGCCTTCGCCTTTTCCGTCCGTTCTTCGCGCGACCCTAACGCTCCCGCGCGCGCTCTCTCTTAATTCGACCGCTCGCGTAGAATACTCGCTTTTCTCCCGCGAAGACCCGCGGGGTGAGGAGCAAGGTAATCCGGCGAGTATGCGACGGGCGAATGCATCGGATCTGGCGTGTGTGCAGCGAGGGACGCCAGGTGCGTCCTGATTTATCACGACCGCTGGAAGTTGACTGGAGGGCGACCGGGAGGGCGGACGGGCGAGCTGCTGCCGCCGTCGCCGCCGCCGCCGCTGCCGTCGTCGTTGCCTGAGACTGGTGCCGCCTGCTGTGGATCTCTACCCGATCGCGCTTTTGTGGCTTATTAAAATTTCTCTAGGCGCGCGTTTCCACTATATAATATATACGCCTGACAGCGATGTCGATTGTGTATACGCGAGCGTATAGTTGCCGCGTCGAGCTTTTTACGACTTCGGTTTATTACCGATGCTCTCTTTCTCTCTTTCTCTTCCTCTTTCGAAGACACGAGTATGTGCGCACGATGGACGAACGAACGTGCTCGTATTATACGAGCTCGACGGGGAACACTGGCCAAGCCGCGGCGCGCTCCTCCTCCTGCACGGGCGAGACGATGTAAATACTATCTGTAATTCCCGCGTCATTCACGCCCGGCGAGGCTTTATGGGCCGCTTTATTATTGGAGAGCGGTGCTCTCCGCCACTTGGCGCGGTTATTGTTACGCGCTGGAAAGGCACGAAATGGGAGAAATGTCCAATGAGCGGGGTGGAGGGGAGAATGCGAGTGCGTACAAGGGTTTAATATCTCTCGCGCATATCGCAGAATTTACGATTGGATTTGACGTAAGCCCAGGCGCGTAGCGTATAAGCAAGATTTACAGTTTACTTAATGACTCGCGCCGTATAGCCGCACACGGATCCCCGGATCGGCATGCTCGCCCGTTTTTGCGCGAAGCCGCGCGCGCGTCTAACACGGTTCAGATGTTCCCACGCTAGGCAAGCAGGTGTTGTGGCGAAACCGACGATTAATTATCCGCATCCCATTTAATAGTAGTACGGACGGGTCGATTAATCACGTTACGGCGACTGCAGTTATAACAGATAAAAAGTTTCCTATACCTCTTCCCCTCCCTCCCCCGGGAATGCGATCCAAAACCTTTAAATTGATTTTTGATAGATTATCCTACGGCACGCGAGTGTCGCCGATAATGTGTATTAACAGAGCAATATTCAAAATAGAATCGATGTAATGCGTGATGTTTCCTGTATATATTCGATTTTAGGATATCGATGGCTCGATTAACAAATTCGTTCTCGCCGAATAAAGTGGGAAAAAAAAAACGAATCTCTTTTAGTCAATCCGATATTTACAAACGAGTATCGCTGATTTCACGTCGTTTATATACACGTTCGCGTATCAATAATATTTTGCAAGCTGAATCCCCGCACACGCCAATTCGAGCGCTGAAAAATTGCGCCGTACATATTATTTTATAAACGTACTCGCGTAACAATATGCGGTCCACAATTTATGGTGGCACGGGATATTAACCCGCGTGTGTGCATTGTGCAGGATAGAGCACATTGTATAGATTTCTTGAGCGCAGATCACAAATCATCGCGGCGGCGATACGGTCGTTTTACGACCGCGACAAATCATCCGTTATGAAACTGGAATAAGTTTTCAAATGCACAAAAGTTCCTTCCCGGCGGTGCGCGCATTATTAAAACGTCGAGAGATATCCTACTCCCTATAGCGAGAGTGAAATATCCGACGGAGATCGGACGAGTCGCCGCACGTCGGCCGTTTGGGGGGAGGGGGAGGATTACGCGGCGTTTTGTGCGTAGGCATGTGGAAGTAATCACGATGTATTAACCATCGTAATTCTCCTTTACGAACTCCGAGTCATTAAACAACCCCTCGAGAAGGAAAAGTAACTTCCTCCCCCGCCTCCTCCCCGCCCCGCCGAAGGAACAGTCAAAATTTAATACCGTCGGGAGACGTACGTGCTAACGCGTACTTAATACCTACCGCGATATAGACTGGGCGTTATTAAACTCGGAGAATATATTTCAGGCGCGCGGGCTGCACTTTCCGCCGCGGCGCGGGCCCGAAAAACTACGCAGCGTCCGAGAAGAAAGGGACGAAGGAGGGTGCATCTCATTACGAGCTCATTCGAACTCGTTGGGGATTAGGGATATCTGCGGTATCGGGTAATTAATTATAAGGCCGAAGGGCGCCAACTCGGGCGTAAGAAAGCGTCGTTAATATATTTACTAGCCGGAGACGCTGGGAGATTTAATTTGTTTAACGAGTCCCGGAATCACGGATTTTGCATATCGTGCTTGTTATTGACTTTCGCGGATGAACCTTCGCTACGTCTCGCTTTTGTGAGAAGTCTCCTCTTTCCGTGGCTTTTTTTTTCAGGAAGCCAAAGTGTTCATAATGTCGTACGTATAATATATGTAAAATACAGAGAAACTCAACGTTTCCGCGCAACAATATTAATAAGAATATACAGATGAGTTCTACATTTGAGTTTTTTAATTTTGAATTTTTAACAAAGTGTTATTCGAATATAACTTGAAAGCGAGTAGCATATAGTAAACGGTGCAATAATGGTAAGGAGAAACGTGGAGTATTTTGAAGTCGACGTTAATAAAAACGGCAACTCGAGACTTAATATTTTCCATTTGATTTTATCGCTCTAAATACGAGACCGGGAACGAAGGAGCCATGGGAGAAGTTACTTAATAGAAACAGCTTGGCTGTACACAAGAAAAAGCTAAGAGCGGCTTTCAAGAATAAGAGCACATAATGACCCTAAAAGTCACTCAGCTCTCACCGTCGGGTAACGTTTAACGGGAACGCGGGAGTTTATTTCATCGCACGTTTCGTAAATTTGTAAGCAGCCAGAACTCAGGGGGCCCTCCGTAAATCAACTCCGCGGCGCGGAGTCTATAAAAGAGAGCACCGTGATATATAAACATCGGGGCGATTTAACGCGAGTCGATAAAGCCCTATTTTAAGGGCAACGCGCGCCAAAGAGAATGCATATTTAATCAGTCTACCGGACGCGATCTCGTGATACGGTGTGCGCCGGGGCACACAACCGGTAAACAGCTGACCCGAGAGATCCCGTGAACCAAGAGCCTCGCTTCGGCAAGCATCGCGCTTCCAGCTGACTTATCGCACGGGGCACGCGTGGTGACTCACGGTCGGGACCCGGCGTTGTTCGTGTCGTGTGTTTTAGGGGTGGATTCGAGGGTAGGGGCGGGGGTGGGTGGATGGATGGCGAGTGAGTGGGTGGTACTTACACCGAGTGAGGCGAAGTGTCGGCGCGTCTCCTCGGACCTGTGCACATCGACCCGAGAGCCCAACGCGGATTTTCCTCCACGCACCTGTCCGCCACGTCGCGCGTACACGGTCTACTCCGCGCTCCGCGGACACCGACGTCGATGGGCCTGTCCAGTGGTAGACATCCGCCGACAATCAGGCGGCACACACACGCGCGCACCGCCGCGGCGCGCCGTGCCCGGACCGGGACTAACGAGACACCCCGGAATCACCGGATCGCCGCCGATCCACGTGACTCGCCATGAAGACACCTGATGGGATCGGCCGGTCGTGGTCGCCAGCGCGTCTCGCCCGTATCCATCAATCGCGCACACAATCGCACGTTATCGCATATAAAGTTCTCGCACGCGCGCGCCTATCGCGCGTAACAGTCGCGTGCGTGTCGCGTGACGGCGCGGGGAAACAAACCGCGGAGGGGTAAAAAGTTAAGGAGGCGCCTTTCGGCGGGTTGAGGTATATACGCGAGAGTAGCGAAAACAGAGTTAGAGAAGACGGAGGCGATAAGCGTGAGCGAAGGGGGGTAGACGATAAACGAAGATGATGGGAAAACGAAGGTAGAAATGAAACACCGGGGGGATGTAGAGCTTATAGAGAAGGAGAGAAGAGAGAGGGGAAGGAACAGAGAAAGAGAGAAAGAGGAAAGAGAGAGAGAGAGAAAAACGAAAGAACGCGGTCTCGCTCCCGGAGATTTCGAACTGCACTGCGAACGGGAACCACAGTCCTTACTGAGCCGGAGTTTGACTACGTACTCGCGGCTGCGAGACTTCGGGGTCTGCGCAGTCGGTCATTCTCGCCACCACCATCGCCGCCGTTTCCACCACCATGTCACCATCGCCGTCGTCGCCGCCGCCGCCGCCGCCGCTGCCGCCACCACCACCATGCACCACCACCACCATCGCCGTCGCCGCCGCCGCCGCCACCGCCACCGCTCTAACCCCAAACCTCCACCACGGCTCTTCCCGACGCTCGACGCCAACCCTAACCTGCCTGCTTGCCCTGCTCCACCCGGCAGCGCCCAAACTTCGCCGCAACGGTGAGAGAGAGAGCCCCCCGAGAGTCACGCGTGAGTCGTGATTCTTATTCATATTCGCGCAAAATTGCGTTGGACCGGGCGGGTCTCCGAGGATTATTTCGCGGGGATTATTTCGCGGATGGCCGGAACGGGGGTGAAACACCGGGGGTTGAATAGGGTCGTGCGTTACCGGTATCGGCTTTAGCGTAATAGGAATCATAATTACGTCTCTCTCTCTCCCTCTCTCTCTCTCTCTCTTTCTCTTTCTCTCTCCCTTTGTCTTACGACGAGTATTCGACCCGGAAATGTTCGCCGGCATAATATTCCGCAGGTAAATGCTACTTATACGGCGGCGGTGGCCGGCTTCGTTGTTGTCGCAAGGGGCGTTAGCGAGAGAGAAGCTCGTAATCGTGCCTCGCCGTATATTAATTAAAAATGGTCGGCTGTCCCGCCCGGCTCGCGCGTCCCGTAATTACGTTGTGTTTAATTAATTAAGCGTACGTAGAGCAAGCGCGAAGGCTGCGCGCGCGGTCGCGCGGTTTACGCGCGATCGTCGCGGAATAATAATTAAAAATTACGGCGAGTACATAGATTCGGTTTTTAGGCATTCGTTTTGCTTTCTTTCCCACCTTCACCAGTCGCCAGCTGTAATTTTTAATCACCGCGCGCCTGACGCTAAGCTGCGTCCGCGGTGCGCACAGCTTTTAATCTAGCCAGCGCGATGCGATAATGATCGCATTAATTACGGTATAATAACACCGATAGGCATCCACACCGAGCCTCGTAAAAATATAACGAAGCAAAAAATTAGAGGGGGGTGGCGGAAGCGAGGAAGGAGGGGGGAAGAAAAACCGGATTACAAATCGTATTGTGTCGCGTTGATATGCTAAATATGTTGATATTCTGTGGAAACTTTCGTTAAATGATAATATTTCCCTTTCATCCCTGTTTTCCCTCTGCGATTTTATGTTTTCATTCCTGTATCGCTTGTGTGTTGCGACATAATATTTTTATCGCGGTGATGTTTCAACATTTTTTTCTCCTGTAATAGGAAGAGAAAGAGATAGAGAGAGTAGAGAGAGAGAGAGAGAGAGAGAGAGAGAGGGAGAACGGGAGAAATCGAATTTATTCCTCCACGCGACTGAATACATAAATTTAAAACAAAAGTCATATTTATCGCGAGATTCGAATTCCGACTTTTTAACATGCCGTTCGACACATCCGTCGTCTCTTCCCTTATATAGACTCCGCAATTATCGAGTCGCGGGATGAACGACGTGTACGGAACGAAACTTTCGCTCTGCTGTCGCTCGCCTAAAGAAAACGTCCGCATCAGATTCCTGGTTGAAAAGTTCTCGTCGAAACAAAAAGAATCCTCGCCCGAAGTCACGCGGACCGAAGTTCGTTGCTCCGTACATGTTGTCCCCGCGCGTATTGGAGCTCTGCCAATGTCATTCTCGCATAATTCCACGGGAGTACGAGGCTCGAAAAAGAGATGGGACAAGCGTATAGACAATATACGTTCGCAAGACCGAGAGAGACGTATTTCGAAAATATCCGACGCGCCTGCTTTGGCAACACATGTATTCCGCAGTTTCATATCGGAAAAATCAGCCGCATTGTAATTAAAAGCATAAATAAGAAAAGAGAAACGGCTATGTAAGGTTTATTTAAATATAATAACAGCGAGATAAGAATGATCATGAATAATGCTGCGGTTTATTATTATTGAGCGCTTCTCGCATATTTCGAATATATAGATTATTTTATTAGCCTTTAATGTGGAATTTATCTCCGATATATCGAAGCGCGCCTCTCGTTTTACACGAAATCGCCGTTCGGATTCTTCAAACGAAGAGCCAAATAGCGTCTCATCGCCATCTATTGTTCATCTTCACGACTAACAATTCTAGCATCGGTCGATGAGATAAATTGTGAAAGTATCATTTATATGAAATATTTGTTGTTGCGATATGTTCTCGAATGTATGTACATACATACGCGATGAAAAGAAAAAGATTTTGAACAAAGTATTTCGATGATATTTATTCCAAAATTATATATACTATTCCGACTATCTCCTGTTGACACCATTACAGGCTAAGCGCACAGGATTCACGCGGTATGTGCGGAGGATATTAAAAAATAGCGCGTCTCTCCACGTACGTAATATTCCGGAAGCACAGCCGATATTTATTCCGAGCAAATATCTAGTAACGTAATAGAACGTAAATTACATCTATTCGTTTATTGCACGCGCAAATATTTGATAAAAAATCAGCGCACGAAGCATCCGTTTGACGCGGCGCACCATATACGGATCTCGTAATTGCCGGGGGTACTGTAGCGGCGCATCAATTGATATTAAAGTAGATGCGTAAATAAAGATCGACCGCGAGACGCGGTCCCGAGCCTTGACACGTGTACGGTGCATCATCGTGAGTATAAACATGATGTAATGCGAATCAGAGCGACACGTGAAAAATGCGTCTGCACAATGTTGCCTGGCATAAAATAGCATTATGTTTCAACAGCGATGCGTATGTCTCGCGTGTCTGAAACCCTTTCCCGAAAGCGCAAGTGGACTTGTCGAACCTTTTCCTCGTCACTCCGCGAATAAATAGTCAAACAATCGTTTTTGTCGGAATATTACAAGTAACAATTGCTCAACATAGAATATATAAATATTCATATTTTCGATTACCTGTAATAATTCTTTTCAGTTTTATACATTTCGCCTTCTTGTCTTTGAACCACGCGATCACGATTCACGCCCTGATATTCGTCGGTCTTGAAACAAAACGGCCTCTTGTGAAACTGGAAATGTAATATCACATGATAAATAATTCAATATTATTGATGTTAAAAATTCTAATAAGCATCTTACAAATCTACCAAGAATTTATTATTATTCAAATCGGACTCATTGTGTCCAATGATATAGCACATACGTATACATTGTGAATATTAAAAATGCGATTTACTCTTTCTGCATAGACTAGACATACTTTTTTTTTTATCAACCAACAGTTTTCCAAATCGGTGAACAAGATGTATATTAATCATAGCATCAATGTCGAGGATTGTGAAAAAAAAATGGGAGAAGGTAGCCAAAACTGTTCCTTTATTTTCTGTCCGCGCGCGATAATTTTATTTGCGGGGTTAATTTTTGTTCCGGTGTATTTGCGCGATATATACCGACTTGGCGATGAAAAATTAAGTTCCATTAATCACCGGGAGGCGTACATTTTCAACCGATTCGCGCTCCCGCGTCGGAATGCTCGACGTTACGTCCCATTAAATTTGAACCTCACCGCTCTGCTATCCTTGATTCCCTCGTTATGTTCGAAAAAAAAAGAAAGAAAACGGAAAAAGAGGGATAAATCCGCGGCACGTTTCGCGGACCAGGAAGAGAGAGAGAGAGAAGGGGGGAAGGCAGGGAATTAATCCCGAGACGATAATTCAGCGGCGCGCTATCGGGAGAGAAGCTGTAACGTCAATCGCGAAGTTAATCGATGCGCCACTGATACGTGCGCGGGATTGGCAGGTCGTCGGTTCCCCGCTCAGTCAAGTGATCATGAGATCGCTATTTTCCGGGTTTCGCAATATATTTGCGCGCGCGAGCACGCGCGCGCCCTGACCTCCGCCGCCGATCAACCGAACGGCGAAATGCAATTCTTCGAAACTTGGAAACGGAACGCGCGCGTCGCACCCGCCCGTCGTTCAATCACGCACTGACTGCATGAACAAACAACGGAACATACGTGTACGGGAGAGTGACACGTACCATATATATCCGACCCGTATCGATTTCCCATTGTCCTCTCTTCAAATCTCTGGAAATACATACGTAGCAGCAGCGGCGGCAACGACGACGATGACGACGACCCTATAGGGATGGAAATGCACGCTACGAGAGCTCTCGTCGGCATGGGATCTGCAATTGCAGTTTTACAAAGCGGCTGTTGCTTTGCGACGCGCCTATTAGCGAGGAAACGAGACCGTTTGAAAATATAAAATAATATTCCGGGCGCGACAGTTCGTTCGCTTATTTATACGTATAATGATTTTACACGGAATTTTTTTTTAAATTTATCCTGCATATCATATTAATTGTGGGACAATATAGTATTTAGGCAAATTTTACTGTAAAATCCTATTGTAGCGCACAGTAAAATTTACCCAAATACTATATTGTCCCACAATTAATATGATTTGCAGGGTAAATTTAAAAAAAAATTCTCTCCGTGTAGTTACATAACAGGCTGAATATAAATTTTTTTTGTTTTCGAGGATTTTTTTTTAGAATCTCATGGAAAGTTGGGAAATTTTTCTTCTCAACTGTCTTTTTTTATTCCTTTTTAATAGAATTACATAGGTATTGTAGGTAGATAAGATCGACCACGAGAAATTAAACTTATAATTGAACTTAATGGGGCCTAATTTTTCATCGGTAAGCTAATGAATTGCGTAAATACGTCAGAATAGATATTAACCTTGTAAATAAAATCACAAACAAAAAGAAAAAAATAGTAATACGTATGAATAAAAAATAAAAATTCTGATTTTTTTTAAATACGTATTTACAAAAAAGTTTATAATGATTTTGTAAAGTTTACGATTTCACTTAATTAAACATCGCATATTAATTATATCATATTTTTTTAACAAGACATCATGTTACAAATATCACCCGTACGCGGTATCGAATTTATAAAGTCTCTCAACATTCGTTTTTGTAACTCAGCGGTTTGTCGCGACGACCGGCTGTCTAAAGCGGCGACTTATTTGCCAATATAGCAAAATGTATGACGGCTAAAAACTCTTGACACACGTTTCATATATCTCGATTAATGCTCACGTATCTCAGTTTATGTCTTCGCAACGCTCGGTCTATAATTTGACGAATGAATGGTAAACGTCACGCGCGAACACGTCAGAAAGACAATTTGAACGCGATTAGTGGAAAAGCTGCTTTAATGAAAATACAATTGTGATAACGGATACGTATATTCCCGTTCCAAGAAATCAGTTTTTTTAAATATTCCGCCAGTTTATCCTCTTTCCACACACGATCGAGCAAACTTATCAAAAATTACACGATTTCTATTTTGATCTACTTATAATACAGAGCTCGTTGAAATTGGCAGAAGAAAAGGAAAGATATTTTCGAGTACATTTTCCTATAAAGTAAAGAGGAAGATATATATGAACGAACCGAAAATAAGACGAATTATGAAATTTGCACGAACAGTGCATTGCAAATCGATATGAATATGTTACAAATTTACAAACAATGAATAAAATCAAAAGTGTAAATGTACGTGTGATGATGTTAAAAATTTTACAAATAATTGCAAACAGGGAACGAAGTACTCAGATAGTACAGAGAGTTTAACAAGAACTCAATTATATATGTCATCAATTCTGAGTGTATTTTCAGATGCAAAAAGAATTCTTTTTCTAAAAATTCTGAAAAAGAATTCTTATTGCACCTAAAAATGAATTTATTGTTAGAATTGATGACATACGACTGAACATACGATTGAATTCTCTTTTAACTCTGTGTGCTTAAATAATAGCAACAAACCGCAGCTGCGCGGCAACGGAGGTCCTCAAGCTGTAGGTAATTGGTGGACACCGCCGCTGTTTGTTTTGTTGCGTAGAAACGACGGTAGACCGATTCCGAAACTCGTCGATTGGAAAACCTGTCTCGTGCGTCCGAATCGGAGTTGAGTAATTTCGCGATAGATATTCCTTTCGTGCGGTAAAGAAAAAGAATTTACGAGCGTATACGAAGTGAGAGGGACGAGAGCGAGGTGACGCTCCAACTCGTAAAACTCGTTAAACAATCGAAAGGAATAACTGTGGTGATTCACGCTGGTGTGACGTTAACGCGAAAAGGGATCTTCTATTTGCGACACAGTACAAAGGTGACTCTATCTGCGATTTCAAGTATCTTTTTCCTCTTGTTTTGGATTTCTTAAAAGATCTCCGTTTCTAAATAGACCCCGAGTACCCGCCACTCTTTCTCTCTCTCTCTCTCTCTCTCTCTCTCTCTCTCTCAATCTAAATAATTAAATACTTCTATTTATATAGTTCGTTACGTTCGTTATCGTTTACCATAAGACATTGAAGATTAACGGGCAGCTTCTTGGAAAAGCACGGACGAAATAAAGTCGTCGACGATGACGAATTTATCAACGATCGTTCTTGTAGCGGCCATCCAGGCACGATCCGTGATAAATCGAGCGCGTAAACACGATGGTGTACGATGTGCACACACGCGCGTATATGTGACGGCACGTCACAGTTTTACCATCGTTTATCTCGAGTGTGTTTAATTCTCCCTTATTGGGAGATGCGCTTCAGTTTTTCAAACCTGGCCTCTCCCCGGCGTCGTCATCAGCGGAGCAGCGTGTGTGCAATGTGTGCAGTGTGCACAGTGCATCGCGCGAGCGACGCATGCGCGCGTCTCTTTCCTCCTCCCCCGCCCCCTCCTGCCGCCGCTCCGCGGCCCCGTCTCTGTTCGTATACATATGTGGCCGGTATTAATCAATCACCTGTTTCGTCGTGTACGCGTTTCTTTCCTTTTACGAACGCGATCAACTATTGCACGCACGAGGATCTCTCGATCTGCTGTGAAAAAGCGAAACGCGGAACAGAAGAAAACGTGAGTCGAAAACATACATATTTTTTTGACGTATTTCTATTCGCTTGGGAATATATATATAGACGGGACACAAATAGTGTCTCGCTGCAGTTTGCGCCAGTGAGTGAATTGCAAAAGGACGGGTAATTAATTTCGAATCGTTGCGCTCGAATGTCTGTCGCTTACATGCGACATATGTCGTAATTAGAAGTCAGAGTGATATGTTTACCAAATCTGTAGGAGATATATGTCCCAAAAAACGCGTGCAACGATTATTTTAACGTACAATAAAAAATGTAGTGTCTACGAAATTGATATGTGTAGTGCCTTAAAAACAGCTGATTATGTACGCGATTGAACAAATTGCGCGGCGAATCTGGTAAATCTGGAGCGCGACGTAACGAACGTCTTTTCATTGTCAGTCGTTGTTACCTCTCCGCTTTCCGCTTCTAAAACATCGTATTGTCGTCCGACGGAACATAAACAAAACGTGTATCTCTCGCGCGCTCGCTCGCTCGCGATAGAGAGAGGCGTGCGGGTTTACGCGGAAGTCGCGTGTGCGTCGTTTATAAACGTCCGCGTCGGCGTGATTTTCCTTCAGTCGTCGAGAATCGCGCGCATCGCGACGCAGTTTGACCCGATCGGTGGTTTTTCCTTTCTTCCCTCTTTCCTTTCCCTCCCCTCTCACCCCCGCCGCATACGTACGTTTGTTTCGAGCGCAAGACGCGTTCGGAAAAAAAAGAGGTTTATATTGTTTATATACACCGTCGCGCAAGCGCATGCCCGACGTCAGCTTTCGCCGGCCGTGTCGTGTCATCTCCGTTCTGCAACGCGCGCGAGCTTCCTATTCCACGGCGACTGGCACCGAGTATTGGCCGAATATCGTGCTCGTTAAAACGAGGGCTGCGTTATCGGGCCTTCGTATGCAGATCGCGATAACGCTCGATGGTGTGTAGAAGGCCCCTCGCCCGGAAACGTCGCATCCTCGTCCCCACGGTAAGACGAGCCTCCCTCCCCCGCCCGATGGCGACCGTCCCGGTCGCGAAATTAGGAGGTTAGGAGGAGCGAGGTCGCGTTCAATTCGCAGGCAGGGCCGGGTTTGTTGTTGTTGTCCCGCACAACATCTCCTTTCTCCCTGCAAGGAGAACTTCTCTCTTTGTAAGGTGCTTTCAATCCGTAAAACAGGTGCTTCAAAGCCTTTTTTCAATACGGAATCTTGAAACTAAATCTCCCCGCTCTTGTCTCTCTCGGACGAGCCTTACTGCTTCGAGACTTCCTTAAAAATTGACAAAAATTGTACGCGAAACCGTATACAGTAAAAATCTTGCGTATAAAAAATATGCGTATAATGAAATAATAAATACACAGAAATGTGTATGACAGAAAAGATAGGAAATAAAATTATAATTTTTTTTATAAATTGTGAATGTTTTATCGTTTAAACGTATTTTTACGCAATATGAAAACAAATAGTTTTTTTTATCTCTTACGTAATGTAAAACGCGTGCCTAGAAATATGTAATTTGTGCAATCTAAATTAAGCTTAAGAGGCGTTTAAAAGATCAATTTTAATTGAAACATTGTAACACGCTGGAATAATATTTTAAATAATTTTCCTGAACAGGCTAACTGGCACGTATTGAAAACTGTATCTTGAAGTTGAGCTCTCTCCTTCATTGTATAACAAGCTTCAATTGTCGCAACGTCATTGTCACGAATCAGCATAAAGATTACTGTCTATAGTATGAATATATAAACTTGCTCAAAGAAATGGATTGAAAAAGAACTTGCTGCAGTGTCTGCATTTTAATTCTTTATTTCTTTCGGCTAAATATTTGAATTATAATACAAATTTATATGTACTTATTTCTTTCCAAAAAATCTTGCCACATAATATACGAATCATACTAAAAATATGATATATACCGGTTGTAAGAAAATAATGTCTTCACATTTGTTGAAGCAGTATTTTAGAAGTTTCACAAAAATAATGGATTCGCTAAATGATAGTTTTTTTATATGGTAACGCCAAATTAGTATAAGCTAAAGCGAGATAAAATAATGCGCGATCAAATTTTTGAAAGAACAAAGAGAGGAGAGAAATGAGGAAGACCCCCAAACAAAAAGGAAAAAAAAACGAACGGATCGTAAGAAACAGGGCCCGTAAATCGGATGTGTGTTCCGCGCACAACATACGTATACGGAACGAGAGCGCGCCTCGGTAGGTTTTAACCCTGAGTTCACTCGGATATGATTTAATTTAACCGCGGCTCTCGGCAATCCGACCGTTCAATCTATCTCTGTCCACCGGCAGGCGCGCGCGAGCCGTTGCGACGATCGTCTCTTCCTCGTCGGTCCAGAGTATCGTCGGTCTCCTTGGTCTCTTCCTTGGTACGTAAAAAAAAAAGAACGCATATCTCCGAAAGCATTCCGTTTTCACGTGTGATTATACGCGCGTACGGTCGGAAAATAAGTGAATTAGCAGGTCATTTACTTACGCTTTCCAACGAGAATTTTAAAGGTAGTGAATGAAAGATATAGGGAAGAAGAGTGTTTTCGTATAATACATCACCCAAAAAAAAAATATTGCCTTTTAGCGGTACCCTCTTGATTTCTAGAGGATTTTCCTCTGATATTCGGCTTCAAGAAGATACTCTAAAATGTAGAGCAAAATCGTATAATTCTTGATCATGCGTCCACTTTTTTGTAGATGAATATGTGTTTATAGAGGAATATGTTTTGTGTAAGATTTTTTTTATAGAGGAAATGTTAAAAAGAATTTCCAACTTATAAGTAGAACATTTTTTTGGGGTGATAACACTTGTTTTCTTAGTGTCTTTATGAGATACGTAATGAGAGGTCACATCGGAATAGTAATCGGTCAAGTTCGATCGCAAAGTCACTTATTGTTAGAGAAAGAGAGAGACAAAGAAGGGGAGGAGAGAGAAAGAATTATTGAAGTTCAAGAAAACTTTTGCAACAAAATACACACACGCGTGTAATAAAAAAATAATGTAGAAATATTTCATAAAACTTTTAAAAACATAGCTAGTAGATAGTTACAACACAGAAATCTAAACAGACGTTTAAAAGATGTGCTAATTTTTTAGATTGCTTTGAAACTCTTTAGCTTATTTATTTTAGACTTTTAAATTTTTGTATAATCTGTAGCAAGGTCTCTCCCGTAGCTAACTTGCCGCTTGGTGCGCTTATATATTGACTCGGTATATTCGCGCGACGGTAGGGACAGATTACAGATTACCCACTAACTATTCGGCTCCGGGGAGACCTCGGTGCTCTTTAATGAAATAGCCATTCTGTGGAGTGCAATGAAGTGCAATGAATGAGAGTTGTGCGTCATGAGCGTGGTTTCACGGGGTATCATTGGGATAACAAACGCTTCGAAATTTCTTTATGGGTAATTTTCTCAGTAGATTTGATCTCGTTAATCAAGAATGTTAATCAGATATGTTAACAAATATGTCAGATATGTTCCTGTATAATTCAAAGCACGTAATTAAATACATAATAATGACTATCAAAAAAATTAAATATGCACAATATGTAAATGTACGTACCGCTCATTTGTTACAACAATGATATAATTAAAAAAGCAAAATTTATCAAGAAATTTTGAATATTTTGAATCATAAAAATTCTGCAATATTATTTTTTTTGTTTGAAATTTTGATATAACTAATTGTAGAGAGAAATAAAAGTACTGTTAAAATATGTTATTTTCTTTGTGTTGCCGTTCTTTTTTTGCAAGCAACTAAAATGACAAGTTTTTAACGATGTGTTGTAGCAAATGTGCGATATACGATTTACATGTATATTTTTAATGCTTCGATAATTTATCATATTTTTGTTATATTACTTTTATGTGTACTTATTTTCGGTGCTATATTATTGTGCTATATACTTACTACAAATGGATTTATTTCTCTGCAGGTCGAAATATATAAATAATGTAATAGCAGTTATCAAATGTACATACATATATTTCGATAACTGTCATTACATTACTTATAATACTCACTTCGACACATAGAAATAAATCCCAGAGAGATTGCCTCACGAAAAAAAAAGCAGCTCAACATCTGCGTTCGTGAACGCAGATATACGTGAGACGTCACGTTTGATGCACAAAGAATGAGATATGCGGTGGAATACTTCGTGCAACCTTGTGGCAGCCGTGTAGAAGAGTCATTTTTCACGGCCGTTACAGGTTAGAGAAATATAGGCGAAGTGTCGGTCTCCCGCGGTGAAATGCACCTTGATCCACATCACGTCGATATCACGAAACTGTGCGAGACTCGTACGTGCGCGGAAAACAGATGTTCCATTCGTCGCATTAACGTAGTTCGCGCGATTATACCGATAAAACAAACTGCACGGTTTTGTCGCGATTCATTTTCCTCGTAATGCATAATTGGAATCTTTCTTCGGAAGGATGCACACTATTTCCCGCAGAATATAATTTTCTTCCGCGACATCCAGTCGTCCAACGAGAGTTTTATGATAATTGGAATTCTTTGGATTCGGCATTAGTCTTTCAAATATATTCAATTGTATAGTTTGAACGTGTTTATATCGTCTTAATTGAATGTTTCTTATACAGTACATTAGGATAATATTATTCTATATATTAAATAATTTCTTACATTATATGTGAATTTTCCGTCTTCTAAAATTTTTGAACACTAACAAAGAATGATATACGTATATACGATATATGTACAATATATAATACATATATATAATATTCTACAATATACAATAAAAACGTTGTCCAAAACAATGTAATCAATTAATTTGAAATTTTCCAGTGAAGTTGAGAAAGTAAATACTGTAAATTCAACGTGGCTCCAATTAAATTCACAAACTTTTGTAGAATTTGTCAATAATTGCACAAAGCGCGACGCGTTAATCGAAGCCATTTTTCTAGATTCACAAGATACAAAAAATAGCAATTAGTAACAATATTCCATTTCATTTATATATATTTTCATTGTATAATAGTAATTAATAATTATAAATATACATCAATTTAGTAAAATAAATTCAATTTTATTGCATAAATATTTTTAAAAAAACGCACATTTTTCGCTGAATTATACCTTTTATATTGATCTACGTGTCGAATAATATATACGACAAAATTAGATACGTATAGTATTTCGTAATTTTGCTTGTTAACATTTAGTTTCTAAATTTAACAGTCTCGCTAGATGTGGTAAACATCGCAATTAGCGTCCGTACTTTTCCACTTTCGTCAAATATATATTATATATATGCGCAACGGAGTTGACGTAACGCAATTTGACATTTGCTGGCAAAGTGGTCGAATTATACATTCGCGCAGGTATCGCTTTTATGGAACATCCGCCAATTCGTATAATGATATTACGAAGCATTCTTATGCAATGATTAGTACAACTCGCGGAGAAATAGAGGGACTTTGACGCACGAAATTTAATAAACTGTACTCTTTCGAAACGATGTGATAAGGCGGCACACAAGATCATTTTACTTCTCTTGGGTCAATAAAAACAAAATTACATAAAATTGCAGTCTCTTTTCAAGAGAAATCCGCGAATAGCTTTTACGGAATAATGTATATCGCTTGGCAAAAATTGAAAATATATCAGTTATCCTTTCATTCTAATTAGTTCCGCTTAACTTATTTCCATTTGATTAAAGTTTAATCGTTCATGACTTACCGACTCTTCGACAATTTTATTACAGAAGATATTTCAACGTGAATTGAGTTTTTAAAGAAAAATACGTAATCTACGGATCTACATAGAATAAAATAAACAGTTTGGAAATTTAAGAGTTCAGAGTTTCTTATATAAAAATGATGTAAAATACAGAAAGTACGGCTGAAATGGCTCTTTTCGAAATTTCAAAGTAATCTATAATCCTACGATATTCTCTCGAACGCAATATTGTATCGTTCCCTAGAGACGAGCCACTTTGCGCGTTTAGGTGTAGACAGCGATATTGATTTGGCAAGTACATCCTCGGAGAGAACAATGGCACTCTGTGCGTTAAATACAATTGTCCAACGACGCATGGACGACTCGAGTAACCCCACCGGAACAAGCCAATGCGAAATCATCAAATGTATATGGCAGTCACCAGTGAAAGAGAGAGATAGAGAAAGAGAGAGAGAGAGTCGCCGATGGGAACGAAGAAAAATATTCCGACACGTTGAATCGATTCAACGAACGCCTTCGTCATCGCGTAAATTCCGCTTGGGGAATCCCGGAGGACCCGTCGCCACGAAGATCCCTCGCCGGTCAAAACGCTGCCGCGTAAGGAAAGAAAGACGACGCTCCGCCCGCAAAAAGGCATCCAGTGTCTCACCCGGAGTCTGAACCGGAGTCTGAATGCAAATTACTTCATCCCCGGCGTTCTCCCGCGTGAAGGGAGGATCCACCGGGTGAGACGGTGTCCGAAAACTAAAGAATCGCGGCGCCAAAGGCGAGGGCGATGCCGAGAAAATATAGCGATGGCCGGTGGGGATGAAGAGGGTCGGGAGGGTTGGTCTGGCAGTTTCGAGGAGGCAAATGTAACGTCGACGGTAATGGTGATGGTGCTCGCTCCCGCGGCCGAAGGACGAAGGAATGAGATGGCTCCCCTCGCCCTTCTCCCCCTCCCCCCGCCCGTGCGCAGCCGGGCGTGCAACGCGTACCGTTTTGGCGAAAAGCTCCACGCCGAAAGCTTCGACGCGCGTTGCTGCAGCTGTCTCTCGGCCAGAGACCGGCCAAAAGCGTCGACGCGTTCCTTTGTAATGCACTTCGCCAGCGGAAAGAGTTGGTCGAACGTGATTCGTCATCACGATGAATAGAACCGTACTCGCAATTTAGCTCTCGCGGGCGGACTGACTCATTTGCACTAATTCGCACAGAGATGTCACGTCGTGGAACTAGAAAATGTTTTCGATGTTTAAATTAATATAGTTTCGTCAAGAAAGCCAAATGTAGATGTCTTCAAATTTGCGTATAGCAACTGATGTCTTATAACTCGTACTTGAATTTAAAAATATAATATATTAATTTTACAATATAAATTATTATTTATACGTCTTTAATTTCTTTAATTTTTTCAACGCTCAAAGAAATTAATATTTTTTTCTAGTATGACTTGCAATATATAAAAATATAACGTTCAATAATAAAGATCTGCTGCCACGTAGAGAAATTTTTTTCAATATACTGGTATATACCGAAATCCAATTATGACTGTATTTTTTTTGTTTTTGATTGTTGATACAGATAATAATGGCAAAGCTGACAAGAGCGTTGTCTCTGCTCGTGGTGTACTTCGTTATTACATCCGCTCTGAATAACGAGGAGCTGCTGGAGCAGGAATGCCCCGTGGATTGCCACTGTCACTACTTTCGCGTCAACTGGGTGACGGACTGCTCGGACAGCAATCTGACGATCATTCCGTACAGCGAGCTGAGCCATAATGTCTATATTTTAGACATGAATGATAATAATATTGCAGAAATCAGTCCGTTTCCAGACTCGATAAAGTTGAGGCGTCTTCAGATGGCACACAATCAATTAACCGAGCTGACGTACGAATCATTTGCCGGACTGACGTACCTCCTGGACGCAGACTTCTCGTACAACGCCATTACGCGGGTAGATCCCGAAGCATTTCGGTAAGATGATTCGATATCAATTGTATTCGCCGGTAGTCATTCTATTTTTGGACGATATAGATTTTGTCGATCATACGATTAATTCAACAGGGACAACCCGGGTCTAATTACATTGGAGCTCCAGCACAATCCCTTGGACGAGATCGAGGAGCCCTTCCTGAATTGCCGTACGCTGCTGTACCTCGACCTGAATTCATGCGGTATCCGTCACCTCAACACCCGCTTCTTCTACAACACGACGAATTTGAATAAGCTCGACCTGTCGCACAATCCCCTGCAAAGGATAGAGCCGGGCCCATTCGATCATTTAACGAATTTGGAATACCTCAAGCTTAACGGATGCAATTTGACCTACGTATCGCCCGAGGCGTTTTCCCATCTGGAAAACTTGCGACAATTAGAGATAGCCGACAATCAATTGAAAACGTTGAATTGGAGGAGCGTTCTCACGCCGTTGGTGCGCTTGGAACATCTAGACATTCGCAACACCGGTATCACGAATCTACCGGGCGATGCCTTCGCCAAGAACTTGTATCTCCTGCAGCTGGTCCTCGCGGACAACGAACTGTGGCATCTGGATGTGGAGGACACGCTCGGTCACAACTTGCACAGTCTGCAGTCTCTGGACCTGTCGAATTGCAATTTGCATGATCGCCTGTCCGAGGAAGCTTTCCGAAATGCGAGCAAATTACGCGTGCTCAATCTGAACGGTAATCCAATGTTCGCCAGCGATTTGACTGCCGTTCTGCGCCACCTGCCGAAGCTCCATAAGCTCTCCCTCAGCAATTGCAGCCTTCGAAGATTGCCCGATGCCTTCGACGTGTTTGAACACCTCGAGGAACTCGATATCTCTTACAATCCGTTATCCGACGCATTCGTCGGTCTTCTGAATCCGTTAAGCGCTTTGGAATATTTAGATATGTCGTACTGCGATCTCGGTTACGTTGGAAACAACACTTTCGCGCAAATGACCTTCCTGAAGAAGTTGGTTCTCTCGGGAAACGAGCTTCACACTCTGGAGGAGGGATTGTTCGCGAATCTGACGCGTTTGGAAAGCCTGGAGCTCAACAATTGCGACTTCAAGGTACCTCTCGACCCAAAAGTCTTCGGCGATCACCAGTCGACTAACATAGTAGAACTCAAACTCAGTGGCAATCCGCTGACCGTGCCCAACGAAGGCTCGCTGCTCCCGAAGCAGCTGTCGAATTTGGAGATTCTGGACCTCAGCAACTGTGCCATTTCGCATTTGAACGATAACATATTCACCACAACGAATAATCTCACTCAGTTGAATCTTTCGGGCAACATAATATCCGACGTGGAGGATCTGAGCTCTCTGAAAAAATTGCGCGCGTTGGAGCATATAGACCTCAGCAACAACATCCTACGCACGATCAGTCCAAAGGTGTTCAAGTCAAATCCACGCTTACTGTCGGTCAATCTCATGGGGAATCCGTTCGTCTGCAATTGCTCTATCACGGAGACCTGGGATTGGGCGATACAGGAGAAGGGCGATCTCCACGTGCTCGTCGGCAGTCAACCGGCCAATTTCGAAACCGGCTCCGTGAAACGAAGGAAGAATCTCTCCTGCGCCTACGACGAAGAAACGTATCGGAACATGATAGAAGGCAGTCAGGCGACCGCGAGTCGCAAGCATTATCCCAGCCAGTTTACGCCTTATCGTACTTGGGCTAAGTACGTTCGCGAATCTAATTGTAATCGGCGTTTATGATATGCGGCAGTCAACTATCAACATCAACATCCGATGTTGAACGTCTACTATCGTAAGGTACGTAGACTTAAACAGGAACTTTGAGCAAGTTCTACTACACTACTAAATATACCATTGCAACATCGTCATATCTCGTACAAGCCATAAATTATATATAATATTATATTATATATAACAATATCGTGAAATTTATATTTCCGTGGCATTATTTTTGTAGTCATAGGATTAAGGCAGATCTGCAATAGATTTTACGTATTAGGAGGTATTGTAAAAGTATGTCTTCGTATTGAAACATTACTAAGTCAAAAAAATACTCGGTTTTATATGTATATATTGTGCTTTTTTGTACATAATATGATAATTCTTGTTCTCTCTCACTCTCGTCGATCAGACTACGTCTTCGTATAATCAATTCGACAAATCAATGCTTAGCCAAATATTAGAAAATATGAATCAGCTGCCAATGATCGACGTTAAATTGGGAAAGTTAAAAGAAAATTGGAAAAATCAGTGAAGATTAAATAATTTTACTATTAAAATTTTCTGTATTTACACAAAACAAAAGTTGTAGTCATTCTAAAATGGATTTATATTATCAAGTATAAATTAAATGACGTAGTTGTATTCAATGTTAAATTGAACAACTCATTGTGTGACTCTTGAACTCTCATATTTCTACATTTACAATTAAACAAAGAGAAGGTGAAATTTTTATGAGAACAAAAGTAGTAAGTATATTTTTTACGCATTTAGTGACTGGTCACATTGTAATTGTAAATTTACAATAGAAACTGTTTGCGAGCATTAATAGGGCATAATTAAAGTCAATAATGAGAGATATGTTTAATTAATAATTATATAATAGATAAAACTTGCGAAACGCGCTTGTATTGATAGTCACGTAAGTGACTATCTTGCAATTATGTGATCTATTTTTGTCACATATAATTAACAAGAATCATTTTATTCAAGTGCTTAAATTAGTTAAATTTTTATGTTTTAATCAGATGTGTTAAAAATATTTAATTATCTATATAATTAATCATTTAATTTCACATTTGTTAATGATATAGAATTTATCAAGAACATGACATTGCAATATAATAATATATCGGCTTAAAAAATTTTTGAGTTAATGTTACAATACTATCGAAAACGTTAATTCGATATAACGTTAATAAAATGCAATATTAACTTTAAATTTGTCATACATAATTTTTTTTCAATTACATATTGACGGATAAAATCAATAATCCGATGATACGTGAAAAAATACTATAAAGTTCGATTATGGAAGGTACATAGTTCAATTTTACGATTAACAAACGCGCAGTTACATGCAATTCATGTGCACACATACATACAAACACAATTGCGCCATCGCATCCGATAGCGTGTGAGTATGTGGCTATAAAGACTAAATGATTTCCCCCTATTTGAACTTCATAATAGACACGGAAAATGCCTGATTATTGTTAAAAGCAGATATGCAACAGTACCTATTTATGGCGTGGCAAATGCAACATCTCCGTCTTTAATTCACCATTCGAATTATTACTTCATGTATCCTGTGACTCTCCTATTTTTAAGTTAATTAAGGTAGCTTATCCTGTGTTACGTAACTGTTTACGATAGGTTCGTGATGTGCAAAAATACATAATCATAAGCAAATTTATAGGCTTTATAAAACTGATATAGTTGATCTTATAAAATTATTTAATGCGTTTGCAGAACATACATACATATATGTATATTAAATTCTGTTAAATATGCAAATATCTATAATTAGAAAAAGTTGTTTAGAAATTTATGAGGTGGACCAATTTTTCTACTGTCTTAATAAAATTTAATTAATATTTTGGAAGTTCTAAATTAAGTTCGATGAAAAAAAGTATTGTTCTCTCTGTAATCGTATCTTTTTTATACAATTTAAATATGCCAAATTTGTACTACGTTGAATTTGATTGTCAGAAATGCTTTAAATAATATTATCAATGCCTTAATAATGTTTTTTTTTTTAATACTTAATTGCAATTCCTGTTTTTTGTTCGTCATTGATTATTAAAAGTTAGTATACATTTGATTTAAATTATTCTGAATCCATATAAAATTTTTTTGCTTTCGAATTTATTAAAATAATAACATAAATTATTATTTTTGCGAAAATTATGATTTATGTTATTATTTTGTTTTTCACGGTTATATGCGTTATAAAATATTATAATAAATGTTATATGTTTTAACAGTGAAAATTCTATAATCTTGCATTCAGACTTGAGGAAAATTATCTTTGTTATGCCGATAAGATTAACGTTAACATTGTACAAATGTGAATATGCAATAAGTTGAAACATTCTTTTTTTCTTCGTGCATTTTCGTATAAACGTCTATATTTTTCGTTGAATAATTCAACGGTTAGATGATAAGTCGACTTTAGACACCTAGCCAAAGTGAGAGAGAAGGGGAGGAAAATATCGAAAGTGGTAAAAAGCCGCGTTCCTCGCTTTTTTGCATTTGATCGAGATTAATCATTCGGAGCTTGCGTATTCGATTGCCTAAAGGAAATCGACGATCGTTCCCGCCCTCAAATATACATATTGTACGACAAACGCGATGCTGAGCCATTTTCATTTATAATCATGAAATGTAAAAGACTGTTGTTTAATAAAGCTGTCGTTCTCTTCTTGATATACGTGCCAGCTTTCTCGTCTCCATCGCGATGAAACAGCTGCCCCTTGCAGGTCAATCACGGTAACCGGGGCGGATAATCTAAATTGCATCGGTGTGGTATTGACGGTTACGTCGGTATAACGATAAACTCTATCGCCCTTATGGATTATCTTTTGACAAGTTGCCGTTGGCAGCGTTCGAGGTCTGATAAAATTTTCCACGTAACGTGCAGGTAAAGATCAACGTTTTTTTATGCGTTGTTGGAACACTGCAGCAAATCGTTGAAAAATGAATGTTTACAGATGATTATAATATATTATTCTACAGAATGCGCGTTCATGCAAATGCAGCAAAATTAATTGAGGATTTATGTTCCAAATTTTTATAGTTGTCGAAGGAAAAGGGAGAAAGAAAGATAAATTTCGAGTTATGCAAAATAAGTGTTTTGCATTAAATGCAAAACAAGTCTTTTAGCTATTAACAAATATGAATATGTTTAGCTTCTCGTTATATAATTTGCAAATTGTATTTATCAATCTACGTGAAATGTGTTCCATGCAATTAATTGTCATCGTCGGGTCTAAAGGTACAGATATATGCCAGATGTAACTAAAAAACGATATCAAACTTTGGGGGCGAGCTAACCACACCAAAACATGAAAAAAGGTTCAGTATGTCTGCGAATCCCACTATTACAGCTCAAAATTTTTATTAACAGAAAATGAAAAGTAATATTTATTATTATTTATTTTCAACTTGTTTTAATTACATTTTTAATTACAAATGTTCAAAAATTGAAATAATAAATATTACTTTTTATTTTTTTTATTAATAAACATTTTGAATTATTGAGTAACAGTGGTGCATACGCGTTCATATGAATTTTTTTTCATTTTTGGTGTGGAAAATTCGCCCTCGAAGTTTGTTATCTTGTTTTAGTTACACCCTGTATAATGAATATTTGTATTTTACAATACAAACTATTACGTGGAATACTGAAATTAAATACAAAATTCTTATGTATAATAACATCTAGATAACTGGCGAATACGTTAAGATAGTTATACTTAATTAAAAAAAAATTGTTTAATATATCTGTATCTAATATCTTTTACAAATTTTATCTTGTTTTTCAAGACCAGTATTTAAAACACGCTGTCAACGTTAAAGCGCTAACATACTATAGTTTACATTATATGTATAAAGTTTCAGAGATAAAAGTGCGCATTTATCAACAAAAATGCGTTCTGAAGTACGGACGAAATTTCGATAATTATCTTTCGAGAAAAAAAGACCGGATGCGACACACTCGTATCTCAAACTCAATCTTAACTTAAAATTCAATTATTCAATTTCAGAGGAAAATTTGAGTATTTTATATACATGCCCATTGTATTCTTTATTTAAAAAACCCATTGTATTCTTTATTTAAAATAAAAAACGGCTGCATCATATTGATTGCGTGGGCTGCGTGCAGGCAACTTGGCCAGCAGGTGCGCTACGAGAAGGACGACGAATCCGGTGGTGCGAACTGCGACGTGGAGCGACGGTGGAGAGCGGACAGCAGGGAGCATGACAGCGCCTACCCTTCGTCTCATCGATTATATGCGGAATCGTCTTGACCCCGCGAGACCCACACGACCGCGAGACGGGCGCGAATCGGGGATCGTCCCCAGTGAACCAGTGTAACGATACCGCAAATGTTGCATTGCGTGCGTGCATATGTGCACAACACATGTTACGTGCGTGCGTCACTCGGCTTGGTTTCAACGCGCAAAGCAAAGTTCACGTCGCCACGTCAGGGCCGCATTTATCCCTCCTGTCGTCCCCGTTGCGACGTTTCCTTCAGGAATTTCCCGTAAATCTCGATATCGATAAACGCGATAAAACTGACGTGTTCATAATAGCTCGTAAAATGAAAATTTGTCACGGAACGATTATAAAATCAATAGCTTCGCGCGAATGAAAAGTTCTCCAACGCGAATGAAGTCTATTGATATACGTAATATTTATATAAATGTTTCTTTTCTTCCTGCTCCACCTCTCGACGTTCTCAGCTTCGCGAAATTGTTGAGTAAGTATAACGAGTGTTTTTCCACACATAAACGATTTTTTTTTTTTCGTGTCTGCTGTAACCAACATCGATGAAATCGTTCGGTACGCTTTAAATCGATAGAACTATGCGGCGCTCGCTATTATTTTCTACTATAGTTTGCTCCCATTACGTCTACAGGCAAGTACGGCTCTGATTGTTGTTGCGTAACAATCCGCAGCGCGCCGACGTCACGCGCGCGACGTCGCGCGCAGCGTCGGCGGAGGCCATACCTCGTATCTACCTCGTGTACACGTGCGTCCTACGGTGTGCTTGCGGCGCGTAACGCGTTTGCGGTTTCATCGAGAATCTCGTGTTTATACATACGAATATACATATGAATGTGAATGCGAGTACGAAGGGGAGAGAGAGAGAGAGAGAGGAAAAAATCTCAAAGCGACGAATTTCGACGGTAAATTCCGGTAGCGATTTTTCTTTTCGCGAATACGAGAAATTTCCACAGCCAAAAACTCGCGTAAAATTATTATGATTTCTTAAGATTCTCTGCTTTATTAATGATTTTGTCTTACTGTTTGACACTTCCACTCTCCAATTCTAAATTCTATCTCGCAGTCATCAGTAAGTGTAATAAAATTCGCGTTCGAATGTGAAGGCGGATATAGACTTGTTGCAGATACCCGTGTATCGTATCAAGGTTGCATATCAATTCAATGATACACGATGTGCCTTATTGCATATTATTGTATCACAACTTTAATACGCAACACTCTCTCCGTCTACACTGATATGCAACGATGATACGATACGCGGACACGCAACAAGTCTGTATCTACCTTAACGAAACGTAACGGAGCTGTTTTCTAGACTCTCTTTTGTCAGTGTTTATTTTTATTCGATGATTTAATGATTTTAATGCAGCAAGAGACGAAGAAAATAAAAAATATTAATGTTTGAATTTTTCATGCTTTTTTGCATATGTTAAACGCACACTCAGAGAAAAAACGTAGTGGTGGAAACTAAAAAGTGACAACATATATAAATTTGAATTTATGTAGAATTAATGTACAATCGTTAACATATTGGTTGTGACAATTTTTTTATAGGTTTTTATTATATATTTAATGTATGTAATATATATTTTATAGCTAAAATATTTTACAAATGCGAATCACGATGGTGGATACTATCTTTAGTCTAGAGACAGACTAATCGTGGTTTGCATTTGCAAAATATTAGTGCGTTTGAAAGCCTATTAAAAAAAGTGACAACTGTATAAATTTGAATTTATATAGAATTAATGTACATATAGTCATGGACATAGATAGACATATCGGTTGCGACGTTTTTTTCACAGGTTTTTATTATATATTTAATGTATGTGTAATATATATTTTATAGGTACTAGCACTACAAACGCGCGCTTCGCGCGCACTATTTAACTTCTTATTATAATTTACAATTACGTCAACCTCAATACACACAACTGTCAAAATGCAATGTCACAGCCGCTTACGCGAAGTAAGCGCAGCGAGACAACCAATCAGCATCGCGGATATCTTTTTTAGATAGGAGGAACTAGCTAAAATAGACAGTACCACCAATCGTGATTCGCATTTGCAAAATATTAGTGCGTTGGAAAACCTATTAAAAAAAAAGTGTCGCAACCGATATGTTCACGACTGTGACATTTTGATTGCATACATAGTCAAATAATTTTTTAAATGTTTATTGCAATTATAAAATATGTATATATTCAACTATGTACATTAATTCTACGTATGAAACTTGTATATTTGCAAGTCACTTTTACTATATTATAATAGTCGTCAACTACGTTCTTCTCTCTGAGCGCGCGTGAAAGAAGTACGTCTGTCGTAATCGCGTCTGCTTGTACAAGCGTTTCAATATATGTATATTGTCATGAAAAAAGCTCACACATAAATCACGTCTCTTTCTCTTTTCAGCCGAAATTGTTCGAGAAACCGGGCAGCTCGTTACGAGTCACGATCCCGAAACGCGCGTGCGCGCTATAGGAGCGGACCCGCCGCATTCGCGACATTCGCGTGCGATCGAGAGCCTTCGGATACGTCGCGCTATCCGCCGCGGGCATCTCCGCTTTATTGGCGACGGCGTTCGGCCCGATTAGTCGGCCGGTCGACCGCGTCCAATTTATTCGTGCGGCATGCGCGCGGCGGCCGAGAACTCCTTCACCGGCTCTCGTTCGCGACCGCCGCTCGTTAACCGCCGTCTATCGTGCAGCGAGCAAGATCCGCCGCCGTCCTCGCCCCGACCTGAGCCTCGCCGTCGCGGCGACTCCAAAGCCGGCTGATCGTATACATATATCGGATTTTTATACCGTCCACAGTAGCGCGCCACGATGTTGAGCCTCTTCGAGAGCATCGCCGACATCCCGAAGCTTTACTACGGCGCATTGCTGGGCATCGGCTTCTGCATCTATTATCTCTGCGAAGTCGTCAAGGTGAGTGTAAATATATAGATTATAAAAAATAGAACGATCGATCGATCGCGAAAATCAATATGCTGATATGAAATGACGAAATACGATCAAGAGAAAGAGGGAGACAGTGAAGGACTCGATCGATCGATCGATCGAGGAAGGAAATTTTAAACGTGTTCCAACATGTTAGGCATGCGTAATTTCATAATTGCATGTTATTCGGAGATAAATTAGTATGTAGATTGTGACTGTTACCGTCGCAGGTAGGTATTTTTTCCTCAAAACTTGCCTTCAATTAAACGAGATTGGAGTCACGATGACTTGCGCGAAATTGAAAAATCATATCGGTGTTCTGCAAGCAATAGTAAAAGAGTGATATCGTGGACACGATCTTAACGCAGCATCGTCGCATATACGCATGCGTGCACGCGTGCGATTGCACATCGCTTCTTCGTTATCTAAACACTTGTTTTCGGCAGAAATCACCGCAGCGTTATTGCATCTTTCTACGATCTTTTACGTTCTTTGAACTATGTTTGTATGCGCCGAATAGTTGCAGTCACGTGTACCCTCGATATAACATATATATTCATGCCTAAAGCTAGACAATCTCAAGTTGGACGCGTCGCATTCAGATTTCTGAATATCGCAATTGTATGCGACGTTTTCGTATAAAATTCATTTTCAACAATATTATTTATATCAGAAATATTATTCGATTTATGATTTTATATGTAGACGTATATTCATAATTTTATGTACATGTATATATGGACTACGATGTGTTTCAGAATTAAATGTCTTAACTTAAAACATATATTTTGCATTTTAAAAAAGAAAAAGAAGAGATTTTCCTCTGCAGGTATGCCCATAAACGCTTTGCTTAAGAGATAAAAAAAATTTGCATCTAAACATTTTCTAGATAAAATTTTACAAAATTATTATCAGGTTATAATAAATAAATTAATAGTACATTTGAACTATTTTATTAGAAAATATAAACAATTTTAACGTAAATATAAATTTGTTCAAAGTGATGGCCTTGAATATTGTAGCAGGCTTGGCATTTTTCTTTTTCTAAGATAACGTTTAGAAAACAAGATCTTGAAAAACACACGTATATATTTTAATATACATATATTTCACATATATTCACAAAATTGAATACATATTAAATAATTAATAATGTGTTGATTATTCATTGTTTTTTATTGTTTTTTTATTATTCTTTAGATATAATTCAAAATTGAGCACAATACTTTGTTCATAATTTTATTTATCGCATAATGCAATTAATACAATTAAAGAATTGGAATAAAAATGTACGGGGTGCTATGATATTTTGATTCGCAAATTTCGGGACACCCTGTATAAAAAAATGTATTAAAATACAAACGTATATTAAAAAGCAAACAGTATAAAAAGTTTTTTATTTTATTGAATTAAATTTATCAAATTAAAAATGCGCGTCAGATTTATATTCTGAAATCTGACGGACACATTATAGATCGTTTAAGGTGGGCTTAAGACACATAATATAAATAGAATTGTCTCCTATATTCTCCGATACGAATTATAGATGATCTAAAGCAGGCTTTATATAGACGATATTCGTAGTTGTTTTTTTTCTTGAGGAAGATTTATTTACGTGTGTTTGTTATTTTATGCGTATACATTATCAGTCATTAACGTTTAACACGAAAGATAAGATACAAATTTCGAAGGTAAATAATAGTTGCACGATATTGATTCTCTGGTGAAAAATAATTTTCCGACTTTTTATCAAAGCAATTATTTTCAACGTCTACAATGTGATCGAAAATTTCCGACTTCGGATGTAAAAACGTAGATGTGATAACAAATGCAAGGTTTTTTTGAAAGACGCGAAAAAAAATTACTTAGTGTGGGCAGGGAGTCGAGAAAATCACAAGGTCTCGAAGCAAGATAAAGATTTACGTGACGACACGCGGAAACGAGACGGCATCCGCGCGCGATAAACCCCGAAATAGGGCAACTTATCGTTCGTGCCTCGTGAACGCGCGCATGACGCGTTCATTGACTAACGAGTCGAGGCAATGTGACTAAATAGCGCCCCGAGCTGCGACATCTTTTATATGCGTCAACATTTATACGCTCTGAATGACAAACTTAATCTTTTACGCGAAATTAAATAATTCGCTTGTGCGCGCTCGCGACTCGACCGCGGGATGTATGTAATCTGACAATTTCGTCCCTTTAAATTAATCTTATTGCTTTCGCATGCGGCTCTATATTTACGCGCTCGAATAAGTTTTCATCGACAACATCCTTAGAATTCTCTTCGATTGAACCCAAGACAATAGCTATAAGAGATTAGCTAACACATTTTTTGCGCAATTTCGTATTATTTTAGGAATAGCGAAATGCTCGTTTCCTTTCGATCTCTCTGTGCAAACATCTTTATAGTACCTTTGTAATATCTTTACAATATCTTTGTATTTTTCAAGAATTTTTTAAGAAGGCATTATGTATATTGATTATATGCTCTTTCAGTTGATTATGGATGTAAAGAAGTTCACTCAGTATATTAATTTTGTTGAAATCGTTATTATTTACTACTCGACGAGGTCTTGTCCTTTTCGATATGCTAAAATTATGCAAGATTTGACTTTTTCGATTTCACACGGTTCTGAAAGCGAGACTTTTGAACAACCGTCTTATATATATGCAAAAATCTCAAGCGCATTGCTGGAAACCCAATCAGCGTTAATAACAGAGGATTAATCCGATTTGCCTTCGCACGCGAATTTAACAATACAAAGGACAATCCGTCGCACGTCGCTATCACTCTCCAGTTCGCTCGGCGAAATATGTAGCGGGCCCACTGTTCTTGTCGTTGTTCTTTAAAGAATAAAATTGCAACATTTAGAATATCATGATCATTTACAATCAACACTGTCGCTTAACCATAATGACGAAATATCTTACATTGTTTACATGCTATTTATTTGAAACATGTATAAAATACAATGGGAAGAGATAAGATTAACTGCATGCTTTATCGCGTTTATCAAAGCAAAAGAAGGAACTCATTTTGCTGTAAGGATTTTTATATATACATTTCTACCTTATGTCAATTTTACGCATAGTTTTCAATCAAAATACATATAACTGTATGTGTTACTGATAAAACTGTCTCAGTGCATATTTGCAACATTTTAATGATATATAATTTACATGTATTAGCGTAAGGCAAGGTGAGACAAGGTGACTTTTTGTGATGAAATAATTTTTATGCAAAACGAATATTTGCATCTACTTCAATTTTATATGAAATATAGTACGAGAGTTCGATACATAGACAGGATTTCCGCGATGCACGTTCGAACTGACGTACGACCCTCCATAGGCGACATCAGTCACGAGGAGAGATGCGTCATTTATTAATCTGACCTTAAAACTGTAGGCATTCGTCCTGTCACATATAATGTGCAGGTGAAATGACGAATGTAAAGGAAGGTATTGAAGGAAAGTATTGTGTAGATTATATGAGTGCTAATTATTAATTATATTAATAATGCCTCTGTAATAATGACGTAATGCTGTACCAATGAACAGATTCACCTTTTATACATTTATAAATGACATTTTTATAAATGGATTGGAAAATTGTATTGGAAAACTATATAATATTTTAATAAAGTGCAAAATAAAAATTATATTTACAGTTACTCATTAGATATAATTATTTGATGTAGAGCTGATTTTTTTATTATACAAGAGCTCCTTTAAAAAATTGAGAGTTTATAAATAAAATTTTGCTATTAGATCAAATGTAATTATCGAATGATCTTTTATATAAAAAGAAACTATTTTTATTTATTTTAGTATTGATTACACTAATGTTACTTTCGCGATATCACGAAACTAGAAATCCTTAAAATCGATTTCGTATTATGTAAGTATGTCTAGGTATATATAGAATATATCCTAAAAATAAAACTGAATGTGTTTTAAATAATAATGTTAAATAATAACAACAGTTCAACAACTTAAATCTAATAATCTCATCAATTTGATATGAATGCTTTCACAATATATAAGTAACTGCGATAAAATGTATGATTAATTTCCCACATAACTACAAGTAATTATATTATAGATTTATTTTTAATAATTTTTAGATAATATAGATTATACACACAATATTGTGAAAGATTTTGTGGAATTTTCCTAAACTTGACAGAAACAGTTAAAAGAGATTATTATTTAAAGAGATTATTTAAGTTTCTCATCAATCGCGAACGGTAAAATGTCAAATCATTATAATTTGCAAGTAAAATATGTTCTTATCGCGTGTTCCTATCGCACAATACATCTACCAGACAACAACACTTGAAAAAAATTATCATTATTTTGTTACTTTATTCGTTTTATAAGGTTTGCTTTAAAGTCTTTGAACACAACTTTAAACTCTCATTTCTTTATGTTATGTTTTATAATATTATACAACGAAAATTTAAATATTACTTAAAGGAATTATTTTTTTTATATTGTGAAATGTAGCGCATAAAAGGAAGCATACAAATCGTGTCTTATATTTTTTATATTATATAAGTCTTATATATTCTATATTACAAGTACGCATTGTACAATATATGTATATATATATATATATATATATATATATATATATATATATATATATGTATACATAACATATATATATAACATTGAAATTTTTTCATTAATCGCATCCTCTACATATTAACGAAATCAGCCGTGCATAAATGAGAATTAATTGTAATATAATTACAATGCAAATGTGCATTTCATAATTCATGAACTAATGTATATCATTTGTGAATCATTGCGCGATTTATATGACAAAAATGCAGCATCTAAGTTATAGTTTATTAATTAATATTCATTGAAGGAGAAAGAAGAATTATAATAAAGTCGATATGAATAAAATATAATTATGTTATTAAATTGATTTTTTAAATTAAATTTTAATCGAAAAAAATTAATTTTTAAAAATTAATTTTAACATGACTTGTTCATTTGTTTGAATTCTCCTTATAACTTTTGCCTAAAACATTTTTTTAAATAACAAATAGTTCGGGAGATAATCGTATGAAAACATTATAATGGGTCACGCTGATTCAAATTAATATGTATATTTATAGCTTGTATTTAGAACGTACTTACTACGCTGTCATTACGCATATAGTTTCCGCGTTACATATATTAATCATAATTATAATCTCAAGATTCTAATGTTAGCACGCTAACATCATTATAAGCGCGTTCTGAGCCTATATAACGTATATATATATTTTTTGTTATCTCATAAAAAAAATCATGGACAAAAACTATTACGTTTCCAGACACCCTTGCTGGTTTGCGCCAATGGACCATTCCGCTCGTTCTTGGAAGTCAACATTCCACTCGTGCAAAATAAATTCTGGCCGACGTTATGGTGTTTCGAATCGCGAGCGCAGACCATTATAGCCAGTCTTTTGAGATCTCGGATATTGCCGAAAGTCGAATATCGCAGGTTGGTGGAAAGATAAACGCAAAGAATAATCATACACCTATATAATTGTTCATCGAGCACTGGGCTTTAATTTAGAAAAACAAATAATGCGCGTCACCAATCAAGCGATCGAGTTATAGTCTATAGCACTCTCTTTATGCAGAGAAATTCTTGCTTTGTCTGACGGGGGTGAAGTGGCCTTAGATTGGGCCGAGAAAGATTGCTCTATCACGTCGCCAATCGTCGTCATTTTACCTGGTCTCACAGGCGGTAGTCAAGCGGAATATATCAAATGTCTGGTATCAGCCGCGAGAAAAAATGGAATACGATGCGTAATTTTCAATAACAGAGGCTTAGGTGGATTGCAACTCAAGGTAAGACTTATTCGTAGATGGCGACGATAATTCTTGCAATTATTATTTTTTATTGCGGGACTTTAAAAGCACTTCCTATAAATACTTTCTATAATAACGGAAATTCTTCTTTTGTTACTTTTAGACTCCACGAACGTATTGTGCCGCTAACTATGATGATTTAAGTGAAGTCATAGAACACGTAAAGAAACTTCATCCTCATGTACCTCTCGGAGCAACCGGAATCTCCATGGGAGGGTAAAGATTATATTTTTTCTCTATAGTTTATCCTTCAATCAATAACTAAATTATATATCTCTACGAAATGCCTAGAAGCAATATACATATATTCGAGCGTTTAATTGTATATATTAATAAATACAATTTTTATGTAAACCACTTCATGTCTTTTTTGTTATGGTATGCGCAGGTTGATCTTAGGTAATTATTTAGCCCAAAAAGGTTTAACAGCAAGGACCAAATTAAGAGCTTGCCTCATTATCTCGGTGCCATGGAATGTATTTGCAGCAACGAAAAACACCGAGGAAAATTATTTTAATCTAATGCTGAATAAGCATCTAGCCAGCAATCTGTGTCGCACAATACAGCGGCATCATACTTCTAGCATTGGCCCTTTCAATGTGGATATCGACACTGTTCTTAAGGTATTGTTTTTAACTATATACATATATTACGAATTTGAAAAGATCAGATAATATCGCGAATATATTTTTTAACTTTTCTGACTTTTCTTATGTTTGCGTCAAAAGATAAAATTTAATGGAATGTATATTTTCAATCATGTATATTTACAAAATTTACAATCTCTTTTAAAAGTAATTTATATATCGTCTCATCTTTTTTTTCTGTCGCTTTCCGCTACAAATACGATTTCGCAAAAAAAAATATCGTGGTCTATATTCAGATAATAAATTTTTTACTCGAACCTCAATCAAGATTAAATTAGAGATTACTTCATCAAATATTTGATATCATCTGTCTGGCACTCTGAATGTGACTCATGCATTAATAATTATTGTGAATTATTATGTCCGATAGAGCCAAACAATAAGAGAATTCGATTCGAACTTCACGGCAAGGCAGTTTGGATATAAAAACGTTGAAGAGTATTACAGTAACGCGACGCTTCACGACAAGCTGCATCTAATCCAAGTTCGGACTTTGTGCCTCAACGCGGCAGACGATCCGTTTCAACCATTGCAAGGTGAGATATAAAATTACGATAACAATCATTTAAGTGTTTTCGTTACGACATTATTTAACAACTCTGTCTTTAAATAAATGTCTTAGCGATGCCTCTGAAGGAAATAAGCCAGACAAAAAACGTGGCTGTCGTGGTAACGTCGCGCGGTGGTCATATTGGTTTCCTAGAAGGCGTTTGGCCGGTCAAGGAGGAGCAATACATGGGAAAGTTCTTCTCGCAATTTTTCACGGCGATGTTCACAAGCGATTTCGACTAACACGTACTTGATATTATCTATAGATTGGACTCGAGTAAATAGTATCGTAAGCATTAATATCGGCTTCCTTGATTTGCTATCGTCTGGCGTCAAGAGATACGATCGCGATATCGTTTATTTAATTTTCTTACAAGTTAAAATGTGATATCAATTTCAACATGATAACTCTATCGGTTTTTCATACTACGGTGCAACGCAAAACTTGGAATTGCACTTTATAGACCTGAAAGAATAACTAATTCCGAATTTTATAATGTAATGTTTGTGACTGTGAGATATTGTTAACTAGGCTCCACACTTATCAAGCAAAGATTTTTGCTCATGACAATGCGCATTAAAATTATTCTTGTTAATTATTTCTAGTTAATAAAAATTGATTTTTATAAAAATCTGTACCACTGATCAAAATTTTTTCCTCTGATTAATATGTAAAATTATCGGCAAAATCGATAATATCGAAAATTTCTTTTATCTAAGTTATATATTAAAATTTATAATCAATTTATTTATTATAATTTATATATGAAAATAAAAATTTAATTCTGCATTTATATCGAATCTTTTCAGTAACAATTGAAAGCAAAAATATATTTTTCATTATATTATTTAAGAACAATAATTGATGGAAGCATCAACAATCATTCAAAGAAATGCGATTGTTTTATGACGTGACAAAATGTGTAAAAAAAATAATATAAATAATGCAAATAGAGCTTTTTACTTGCTGACATATTTCTGGAGAGGGGAGAATAGCTAGTTCATGATATTAATACTGATATAAGTATAATTGAGGAATTATTCACCAATTTAGAAGTGATTTATTCGCCACCCGTCGAGTCGCTCCATCGAGGTTACCTTCCGATTGAATTTACAATCGTAACTATACCAAGGACACTTGCCTCAGTATAAATATTGCAAAAATGTTACTACTATCTCTCATTGTGATATTAATAAACATAAACTATAATATGTCGATGAATATTAACGATGTGAGACTTCATGAGCTATTCTCTAAGATCTTACTTTTTTACCATTAATTTTTCTCTTGTATAGGTAAAAAATATCAAGATATTTTTTCACAGAGACGCTTTAGTTAAAGGCAGCTAATTATTACGTGTTCTAGATTTAGATTCTATTATTTTCAAATGAACACTTAATGTTTCATTCAACGTTTCTCAAGCTCAATCATGCGATCGAGTTTTATATTCGATTTTACGCTTATTATACATTTTTGAATGAAAGAATACAAACACTGTCGTAAAATACAAATTTACTTGGTTTTATTTCATATAAACACATCATTATAAAAGAATTTTCAATCAAAGCATACCTGATTTTACAACAATACGTTGCAATATACATGATAATCGCACAAGCGCAATTTAGTCGCATCACATTACAATCCCTTGATTTTGGATTTTATGCAAAATTGAGTTTTACACTCTTTTCTCTGAGCATTAATTACAATTTAAATTTCAAGCCCAAGGAATGCGCGATAAACGATAAAATGTCGGTGCTTTCTTCAATCTAAAATAAAATTTCATTATGTCCAATATTTTCTAAATAAAATATAATCATTCGCACAATATGTTATATATATCTTAAATATGAATCGTTTACAGAAATATTTACCACTTTCATCGTTGGCTTTCCACTGCCATGTCCTGCCTTGGTATCTATTCTTGCGAGTAAAGGATTTTTCTGTTTCGACACATTTCCAAGTGTATACTGAAGAGTGGCTGTTAATTTAAGAGTGTGCAAAGGTACGACACGGTCATCGTGATCGGCAGTCAGAAGCAACATCGCTGGATATTGTACATCTTCTGGTGGCACTTTTACATTATGTAAAGGTGAATATTTCAGCAAGTTCTCGAAATGCTTGGCATCGTCGGAACTTCCGTAATCCGAGACCCAGGCAGAACCGATAGTAAACTTATGAAAGCGTAACATATCCATAACTCTGCACAATTTAAAAAAGAAAGTTAACACATCATACTTATGCCACAGACATCGACAGCGTAAAAATAAAATTTAATCAAAAGATTCAACTAACCCCACTTGAGCTATGGCGGCGCCGAATAGATCAGGTCTTTGATTTATACAAACGGCAACAGCCAGACCACCGTTACTGCCGCCCTGAATCGTCAATTTCGCAGAGGTAGTGTATCCATTGTCTACAAGATATTTGGCTGCATATTGAAAATCATCGAATACGTTCTGCCTGTTAAAGAAGCGTCCCGCATTGTGCCATCGTTCTCCGTATTCACTACAACAATAAATGGCATTCTTTTTTAGTACAGATAATAGATATTTTTATAAATATTTTCCCCGTATTGCCTTACATACCCTCCTCCACGAACGTTAGCAACAGCAAGCATCCCATTGAAATGTTGTATAAAGACAAGTCTTGTAACACTGAACGTAGGTTGGATGCTTGCATTGAAACCACCATATCCATAAAGTAAGCCTGGCATAGTTCCATCTAACACGGCATCCTATATAAAAAATATTTTGACAATTGTTCAATTTTAATATCAATTTTAATATTAATAAAGAAACCCACACATACACATAGGAAAATTTTTTTAATAATCTTAAACCATTCTTAAATCGCTGTATATGTTAATAGAAGACCTACAGTTCACATAATAATCAAGTACATCTCATTGATTTTTTTTATAACCTACGTACATTTTTTGTCACTATAAACATGGGTATTTTTGTACCATCCTTGCTTGGATAAAATATTTGACTAGTTTTATATAAACTGGCATCGAAACCCTTCACTTTGATTTCTCGCAAGATCTGAAAACAATACCAATCATCAAATAAAAAACAACTCTAAAGCGGCGTCTATAAAGAGACTTATTTAAGAAAAGTGATCAATCACAATCGATCATTCTTTTCACGTTCGTGAAATGAATAATCAACTATGATCAATTATTTTAAATCTTAAGTCTCATTGTAAACACCGCATAATAGAAAATGTATCATGTTGTATATCAAATCATATACTTATAGCATTTGAAAAGTACTAACTCGTGGCTCCTTTTCTTTTTTTAAATCGATTGTATATATAATTCCTGGGGTTAGGAATGATGTAAATTGATAAAATATCTCAGAATATTTCTTCTCTCCCGAAAATCCGACGACAGTGCCGAGATCAAGAGGAAACTTTCTAAGAACTTTACCAGTGTTCAAGCAATGCAGTTGCAAAATGTTCTACGAAACGTTTGATTATTAGCGTCTCTTCATTACAGCAATCAATCTGAATAATAAATATATACCTTCGGCATATATTTACCTTAACATCTTGTATGTAACAAGCAACAAATTTGTCTCCATCCACAGGGTTAGCCCAATCTAGTACATTTTCAGAATGTTCTGGCAAAAGGTCGACCCACTTGTTTTGCTCATAATTCAACAAATCTATAGCTATCAATTTATAATTAGGTGCATTTTTATTTGTCCGGAACACAGCTTTGCTACCAATATTGGTCACGTACTGAAAATACACGAGAATACGGTAACGAGACATAAGCATAAGAATATTTAAGAAAAAAACCAAAATATTCATTACTAACTTCGTAATCAGCCTCAAGTTTGTCAACAACCTGCGTCAAAGGCAGGCTGTTCTTTATTTCCATTCCTTTTTTCAATGGTGTGAAATATACTAAATTATCTCTGCAATCCTTCAGAGGAGTAACAATGAGCCAATCGCCACAGTCAGACACTTGTGCACCTCTGATAAAACGACAAGAGATTAATCAAACGCATATACAAACAGATCGATTTCTCTTATCTTTGTGCATTACATGAATATGTATAGGCTAATGTTGACAAATCTGAATTTGAAGTATGTAATTTTGGATATATTTCAATTTACTGTTGGTTCGTTTAATTACTTGAATTTATGATTTAAAAATATATTCATAACATATACACTTTAAAAATATCTAAACAATGGCCAATAACATATCTTTTAGTAATATAAAGAAATCTAAAAACTCAAATTAGAAAACTTACATTCTCCACAGTGGTTCTTCGGGAAACTCAACCGCGACAACATCATCCGATTGTGACGTACCAACAATGTGGTAGCATAATTTTTGATTTTGATTACCTAACGTTTCTGAACCGTCAGTTTTTCCCTGCTGATCACGATATTGTCCATAAAAGATACCACGGTTGTCGTGAGTCCATGCAATCGGTGAAAACTTGACTTTTTCCAAAATTTCTGAGTACTTTTTACCTTCATGAATATTATATAAATTTTGTATACTTTTAATAATGTATTGTATTAGAGCAAAACTTAGAGCAAGTTTAAGAATGTTAACGTCATCTTACCGGTATGTGTATTCAGGAAATGAATGGTACTCCAGTCGGAACCACTTTCAGATAATCCATATGCAAAAATGCTACCATCTTCACTAAAACTACTACTGGTAATTGCAACAGTTCCATCCTCGGAAAGAGTATTGGGATCAAGAAATACCCTTGGTTCACTTTCAAGAGTATCTTGTACATATAAGACACTGGAGAAAAATTAATTAAGTTAAAACTCAAGCTAAAACTTACGAATGTATGTAGATGTACAATCATGGACATATCGGTTGCGACATTTTTTTTTTTAATAAGTTTTGAAACGCACTAATAGTTTGCAAATGCAAACCACGATTGGTGTACTGTCTCTAGATTAAAGATAGTATACCATCATGATTTGCATTTGCAAAATATTAGTTACCTATAAAAAATATATATATATATATTAAATTATATATATACTAAAAACCTATGAAAAAAAAATGTTGCAACCGATATGTCCACGACTGTACATATATTGACAATTAAAAATACAAATTATACCTTTGGTTTTGCAAACCAGTATTTTTATAAAAGTAATACTTTCCGCCATGTTTGGCAGGGCACGAATACTTAGGAAAATCCCACAATTGCTTCAAACGATCGTGAATATTGTCACGTGCTTTATACGCAGTTAAATACGGCTTAGTGATAGCGTTTTGAGCATCAACGAAAGCTTTCGTCTCTGCCGAATCTGGATCTTCCAGCCATCTGTAGGGATCTCTTATCTACAATCAGAATAATCCTTTATATAACATTCTTATCTACAATCAGAATGATCCTTCATATAACATTCAAATGTAGGCTATTTATTACTATTTAATTCATTATTATATCATGTCCTAAGATACATATTAAAAATCATCCCTTCTTGAATAACTGCAGTGAAAGCAGTAGCTGTACTGAAATATTAAATTTTAACTTGTTCTTATTATATATTTACATCTATCTGCCTTCATAATCTCTGTGTAAAGACTAATTGTTCTTCGATAAGGTAACGACTATGTTTGCACCGTACGTTTAGTTC